TTTAACTTATCACATGCAAAATTGCTATCTCTAGAGTAAGAAAAGAACAAAGATGAAACAAAAAATATTTTATTCTTAAACTACATCATAAAAAGTTAAAATCTGAATTGCAATGTGAAAAAATCGCATTAGATACATATTCCAGTGGCGAGCTAGGGTTAAAAGAATATTATATATTATAGCAAATACTCAAATTGGCGTCCCTCCGCAATCTGACAATGTGTTAGACGATTATGAAAACTTAAGATTGCATTTCTACAAAATTCGCGAAGAATAATTCGTAAATCATTAAGATTTCGAGGTTTAGTATTATAAATTTTTCGCTTTAAATATCCCCACAACAAATAGTCGAGTGGATTTATATCAGGCGATCATGCTTGTCATTCAATGTAACCCCTTCTTTCTATCCATCTATTCGAAAAAATTTTCATTCAGATATTAGCATACTCGTAAACCATAGTGAGATGGCACCCCATCTTGCTGGAACCAAATTTCATTGAAGTTTTGACGAGCGATGTTTCGGATTGCCGAAACTATTTCATTTTGAAGCATGGTTAAGTAATTGTCAGCGTTTAAATTACCTTCAATAAAGAAAGGCCCAATAATGGCTTCATTTAAAATTCCAGCCCATACGTTGACTTTTTGCCGATTCTGAGTATGTGCCTCATACATCCAATGAGGATTTGTATCGCTCTAATATCTGCAATTATGTCGATTTACATTTCCGATTAGCTCAAAAGTAGCTTCATCTGAAAAAATAATGTTAACTACAAATAAAAGATTTCTATTGATATTTAACATCGTATTTTCGCAAAATTCAATGCGACGATCAAAATCATCTTCACATAGTTCACTTCACATAATTCCTGCGCTAGATGGATCTTATATCGATGAAATTTCTCCTTTTTCAGAATTTTATGAATTGACATAGAATCAATATCGTATTGTTGTTCAACTTTGCGAATAGAATTATGCGGATCTTCAATAAAAAACTGTAGAAGATTCAATCTTTTATCAGGATTTGTCGCTATTGTTAGTCTATCTTGTCTATTATGATCTCTTACAAAACCCATTTCTTCAAAACCCATTTCTTGTTGTACAGTACGAATAACAATCGATTTAGATATACCATTGTCTTCATTCCTAAAAGTTTGATTGAAAAGTTCTGTCACATATGCGTAAGACTTCGTACGATCACCCCATCCTCGCATCATTAAAAGGGATATACGTTCCTGTTCAGTAAGCATTATAAAATATTTTATATAAATGCTTTATAAATACAAAGATAACTATGTGGCGATAAGCAATCTCAAAACGGAATATCACGGAAAAGTATACCTTCTCAATCGCAGATCATAGAAAGAATGAACTTGATAAGAGAGATAAGAGAGATCTCTAGCCGATGTAGTCTTTGTTGAAAAGGTGGGAAGAAAGGAGAAAGGATGGAAAGGAGAAGGAAAAGAGAGAAAGAAGGAAAGAGTAAAGAGGAGGATAGAGATACAGATATTCGCGGGCACACGTCATAAATCCAATCGGGCAATCTCTGCGTAATGCCTTAGATAATGCTAATGCCGGCGGTTCCGTAATTCTCAACTCTCATAATTTGAAAAGTAATGATTAAAAAGAGGCTTTATTATAATGTTTTGGAAAGCTCCCGACCTCAGCTAGATTCTAAAATCAATATAACAAAAATAGGGTGTTTCATTAAAAAAATCGATTTGATCTTAATCTTGGTGGTGCCATCCGAAGTCAAATTGATAAGATCAGTCAATAGATCATTTTCAACTCTACAACTTTTATATAAAACATTTTTCTCAAAAATTATCACGCACGCACGCACGCACACAAGACATATAAACAAATATTATTTTGATATTTATACAGTTTAACAAATCAAAAATTAATAAAATTAGGCTTATGCATTTTTGCATGAAATGAAAGAATTTGGCAAAAATAAGCGTCGCTCTGCCGTGAATCAAGACATTAAGCGTTGACTATTATTGAAGGAAATCTGTCACAGAGGCAAAATGAAGTATATAATTGCACTGTTCCACATGAGTTTCGACTTTCCACGCGAAGCGACTTCCCGCGCAAAGCGACTTATCTCACCTCCCTCTCCTCCTCCTACAAAGGGGCGCACAACTTCTATAATTGTACTGTTGCACGTGAGTTTCGATTTAGCGAATCAATAATAGTCAATCAGTACTATAATAGTAGTAGCCAATAGTAATCAACTTTAACGCTTATATCTCGGTTCGCGTAGAGTGACGCTTCTTTCTGCCAGATTCTTTCATTTCATGTAAAACCGCATTGAATAAGTTTAATTTTATTGATTTTTGAGATGATTGTGCTGTATAATTACCATTATTTTAAAAAATAAACACAAAAAAGTATTACTGGTTTGTAAACATGGAAGCATTTTTTAAGTAAAATTAACATCTATGATTAAATTAAAACATTATATTCATTCATTTTGATCTAGGATTTACATATTAAAACACAACATTATTTCTATATTATTTATTTACTCATAAATTATTATTTTGTTACTAAGAAGTATTAAATATCAATTTAACATAAAGTAACATAATCACTTATGTTAAATTAACACTTGAATATATGTTAAAAAATTCATCAACACAAATGTTTAACAAGGACTTGAGTGAACTGTTTCCAACACAAATACGAAATATTTTTTACCATGCAGTTTTACTCCTATTATACTAATATCATACTTCTGTACATTTAGACTAATTTATTGTTTTTTGCTCTCTGAAATTTTAAGGCTAATTCTACAATGTGCTCTTTGTTTCCTGTTTCTTGCTTTTTACTATTTCTTACATCTTATCTTCTTGCTTTTTATCTGGTTTTATGTTGCCAGAGATAAAAATTAACGAATTTTAAAAGAAACAAGAAATATGTAGTAAGAAATATAATTATCGATAAAACGATCGCAAAGGAGAAAAAAGCAAAAGGTAAAAAACAAGAAACAGAAAATAAAGGTCCCATTGTAGAATAGGCTTCATGATTATTCTATTAGGTTGGTGCATATGAAATGTCGGATTTTCTTTACATATGAACGTTTGTCTCCCTGTTTTCGTTATGCTTTTGTTTTTGGCATAACCTCATTTATCCATCGTATCGTCCATCCAATCGTATTGTCCATTGCCAAAGTCACATTTCAACAAAGAAGATTTTCTCAAAAGTGTTCCATTTTGTTATTTGTTTTGAATTTCGTAAGGATATGAATTCAATCGATATTCATGTAATTTTTTTATATGAGTATAAATTTGGTAATAATGCTGCAAAAGCTGCACGCAATATAAACCAGGCATTTGGGAAGAATACTGTTAACGATCGAAAAGTGCAGCGTTGGTTTGAAAAATTTCGGTTTGGTGATTTTTCCTTACAAAATGAACCGCGTGGAAGACCCAAAACGTCTGTGAAAAATGATGCTCTGAAAGCATTGGTGGAAATGAATCCAACTGTATCTACAAGGGAACTTGCTACCAGAATGAAAGTTGACAACGATATTACAACACCTTTCTAAAATTGGCAAGAAAAAAATGGATAAATGGGTACCGCACGAACTAACCGAGCGAAATAAGCTGGATCGATTGAACGTATGCTCATCATTACTAACCCAATTTCATCGAGAGCCATTTTTCGATCGGATTATTACTTGTGATGAAAAATGGATTCTTTACGACAATAGGAAAAGGTGTGCTCGATAGGAATGGCTTGATAGGAATGAGGCTTGTGCTCATACTCCAAGGTCATCACTTCATCCACGGAAAATTTTAATAACAGTTTGGTGGAATGTGACTGGAGTAATTCATTACTCATTCCTTCGAACTGGGGAGACAATTACAGCCGAAAAGTACTGCCAGTACATTGATGAAATGCATGAAAAATTGAAAATTATACGCCCATCACTTGTTAATCGGCATGGCCCAATATTTCTTCAACAACGCTCGGCCGCATACAAAACAATTGCGAAATTAAATGAATTAAAATATGAAATTTTGCAGCACCCAGCTTATTCACTGGATTTTTCGCCAATCGACTTTCATTTTTTTAAACATTTAGAACAGTTTTTATGGGCTAAACAGTATGAAAATGAAGACAGAAAATGAAGACTGAAAAATTCCATATCAGAGTTTATTGATTCTAAAGATTAGAATTTCTTTAAGACAGGCATCTATGCATTAAAATCTCGTTGGGAAAAATGTATTGAAACAAATGGAGCATATTTTGATTAAATAAACAGCTTTTGAAACAAGATATGCAATTTTATATATTCACTTAAAAATCCGACATTTCATATGCACCAACATAATATTAGGTGTTGGAATTAATTCGTAGCGTTTTTAAATGAAAGAATGTTATTTATTTCACATGAGCATTAAAAAATACATTAATGAAAGTACTTCCCATCACTTGTAAAACGCTACGAATTAATTCCAACACCTAATACAATGTGCTTTTTGTTTTCTGTTTCTTACTTTTTGTTATTTTTTACATCTTGTTTTTTGGCTTCTTACACGATTTTTTGTTTTATATCTCCCGAGATAAAAATTAACGAATTTCGGAAGAAACAAGAAACATGTAGCAAGAAATACAATTGTTGATAAAATGGTTGCAAAGGGAAAAAAAATAAGAAACAAAAGCAAGAAACAAGAAACAAAGAGCACATTGTAGAATAGGTTTTACAGAATGCTGTTTAACTATACACAGCAAGTTACGACTTTCAATTTTCTCCTTCGATTGCAAGACATAAAAAATTATAAAACTTATTAATCTAGGTATAGATGCAAAAAACTTTTCTAAATGTATAGTTAATACTATAATTTTATTTTCGCCAAATAATAATTTAATTTTTAGTTTCTAACATACGCACATATATATGTGTGAATATATAAAATAATCAACTTACAAATAATAAAACAATCATTGAAATATAATTTAAATATAATTTAATATGAGCAAAACATACTTACTTTGCCATTAACATCAGTTCCGTTAACAAAAATAATAACTCTCTTCATTGTACAACGATAAATCTTTAATTTCCAATAAATAAGCTGCAAATATTTCTAATAGAATTTATTAAACTGCCGGTTTAAGATCAGATTCCAACTTTTTTCAGGTTAACACTACAGACCATGAAGAATAGAGACCAATAGAGACCAGAGGCTCTATTCTTGAAAAGTATCGATACGAAAAATTAGAGAAATGCTATAGTATGCGTTACACACACTAGTATTTTTCTAGTTTTTCATATGCGATACTTTTCAAGAATAGGGATCCTGGAACTTATCAGATGGAAGTAAAACCAGCGGCACACGATCGTACTGCAGCCAATACGATGGCTAGATTGTAATTCAGCTAGAAATCCAGCAAGAAAACAAACATCGGCTGCGTTCAGCGGATTCAACAGTTGAGTGAAAGTGCGATTACATGGAGCGCGGTACGCGATACAGTAACTAATAGTAACTAACTACTAGGCAACTAGGGCCGGTATTCATAAGCAGATCTTACAATATATTCAAGACCTTCTTAAGTACGGTCTTAAAAAGTCTGAACCAATCAGAGATCTGCATTAGCGTCTTAAGGCATTATCGTCTTTACTTAAGATGGTCTTGAAATAAGTATCGACTATGAATACCGGCCTAGGAAACTGCGTACAGCCTATTTCTTTCGCTGATATTAAGTCGGTTCTACATTAGTTGCGAATTGATCGCAAGTTTGATGCGACAACCAATATGAAGCGTTTTCAAAATGCAAGCTTCAGATCGGCTGTCGCAACAAACTTTTGCGATCAGTTTGCAACTAATATTGGATCATCTAAAAAGTATCCGCGGTTTTTTGTCACTAGATGTGTGTTGATGGTCATATATATAGTGACAAAGTATCGCGGATACTTTTTAGATGACCCAATAGAATCTGCTTTACATGGAGCGCGGTTTGCGGTACGGGCTAGTAACAAACTCACATTATTATACACTGCTATGCACTTTTTAATGGAATTAATTGATTTAAACGCAATTATTAAGTAAATCTGTTTAAAAAATTTAAGAGTATCGATAAAGTGCGCATAAAATTAAATTAATATATTTTAAAAAATTCATACTAATGTGACTTTGTCACTAGCCCATGCCGCAAACCGCGCTCCATGTATTGGGTCATCTAAAAAGTATCCGCGATTTTTTGTCATTAGATGTGTGTTGATGGTCATATATCTAGTGACAAAGTACCGTGGATACTATTTAGATGACCCAATAATATCAGAAAGAAATAGGTGGTACGTGGTACACGGTTTCCTAGTTAGTTACTGTACCACGTACCGCGCTCTATGTAATCGCACCCTAAGCGTTCACTACTATTAATGTATTCTTCTAGAATGTTGATTGGACGATCTAAAAGAATACACCAATAAGTTGAGTGCATTCTACAGAATGCAGCCACCGTGTATCGCAGGTTTAACAAGGGCCAGGTGCGTATATTACATTCGTATGTACGTGACCGGACAAAATCTTCGGTTGTATAAATTATCATTTTAAATAGTTTGTATTTCGTATGAGGAGTTTTAAAGTGCAAATAAAAAGGTTTGTGAGTCTTTCTATTAATTACAATTAATCATTCTTTTTTGGACCATGTACTTGACCGAAATAATTAACCGGATCTAAATTTAATAAAGTTTATATAATCGTTTGAAGAGTTATGAAGTACCATTAAAAACATTTGTGAAGCATCCAGACATTTTTAATTAAATATTAAAATATCATGTATTTGACCGAAATATAGATATAGTCACAGAAATTCCATTAAACACGATAGGTAGTCTCTCTAGTATTTTGATATTTCAAAACATATTATATGGAATTGCTTGGAATGAATTTCGATCGGAATTATTTAGTTTTCCTACAGTTTCTTTAAACATAATAGAAATGAAAGAAATAATTTAATTATTTTGATCGAAATCCATTCCAAATAATTCCATTATACATTTATTACGATTGTTATTCGATCAACAAGATGGATGAGTAACTAACACTGTAAGAAAAAATTCTTTGCATCATTCTCTGTAATAGATCTCAAATGTTATTGTCATAAAATTTAATTGTATCAGGTTTTGAAACATAATACAAAAATTAAAAATTTTTTTTATTGTAGATTTTAATCGTCACTCTTTCAAAATATTGTGTCTGAACGTAAGTTAAGTTTAATTTTATATATAATTTAACAAAACTGACATCAGATAAAGAAGATATCATCAAGCATCATTATGAGATGATACATATGCAACTATGTTCTCCATTAATTAAAAAATGCAATAACCACGATGATTATGCAATATGTCTAATAAAAAAATAATAGAAATAGGAACAAGTAATGCTATACAGTTTCAATTATGTTTTTATATATTAAAGTATATTATCGTAAGTCTGATTAATTTTTTTATATAAACAGGAAGGTTTTCTACAAAATTAGATAATGAACAAAGAAGAATTTTGTTTAATTTTACTAGTGATGATTGTCTACATAGAATCGATAGAAGTCTCTGCATCATAATCACAATGCATAACTGTCACCGTATGATCGATGCGAACTCATTCCAAGCAATTCCATAATACGTCCTGAAATATCAAACTACTACTAGAGAGACTACCTATCGTGTTTAATAGAATTTCTGTGACCGTAGCGCCTATATCTATATTTCGGTCAAATACATGATATTTTAATATTTAATTAAAAATGTCTGGATGCTTCACAAATGTTTTTAATGGTACTTCATAACTTTTCATATGAAATACAAACGATTCTATATATAAACTTTGTTAAATTTAGATCCGGTTAATTATTTCGATCAAATACATGGTCCAAAAAAGAATGATAATTGTAATTAATAGAAAGACTCACAAATCTTTTTATTTGCACTTTAAAACTTTTCATACGAAATACAAACTTTTACAACCGGAGGTTTTGTTCGGTCACGTACATACAAAATATTACTGCCAGTTGACTGCCAGTATAGTTTCCGTTACGTATACTGACAACTGACAGTAAAATACGAACACAGCCAAGATGTGTTCGTTTCTCGAATTCATGGGCTGCATTCAGCGGACACCAGTGTGAAGGCACCCTGATCTTTAGGCACAGATCTTTAGGAACATTCCAAAGAACATTCAGAGAATATCCCTATGTCTTAAAAATATTCACTAGAACGTCCCTTGAATAAAGTGTGCTATTAGGACAGTCGGACTAACACTTTCGATAATTTTAAAAACGCCATTCGATTGCTAATTTGCTAATTTTTGCATGTTTTTTTATTTTGTTTGCAAATTAATTATTTTGGGCAGACAATCGTAAATAAAATTTGGACAAGTACAACTGGTTATGACCGCCATTTTGAACTTTTACCTCATGATTTCATAAATATTTCGATATTAAAACGTTTATTAGTTCCATGTCGTTTGCTAGTTTCATGTATGCGTGTATTATTTTTATTATATCAATAAATTGTTCTATAATTTATTTATTAATAACATGTGATTTATCTAATAACTTTAATTCTAGTTACTTCCAAGCGATTTGATGCATATGCACTATTCTTGCTTACAGTATATTTTTTTCAAATAGATGGTGAACCTGCATAATTGCATGAAAATCCGGCGAAAAGGATGCAGCACAGACTTTTGCATAACGCATAACGCATAGTTATGCATAAGCGAATCAACGAATCAGAATCTTTCCTTTCCTCCCATTTCAAGGAAAAGAAGAAATTTGATTAGTTGATTCTCTTAGGTATTATGCGTTATGCAAAAATCTATGCTACGGCCCTATTATATATAACTTTTAAATTTGTATATCAACGCCTAATTTTTATTCTTAGGAGGTCAAATTGCCAACTTGACTTATTTTCCGCTATTTCTAGCTTATTTTAATAACACTGATAGCAGCCAATACGATGGTAAAATTCTAATTCAGTAGGAAAACAAGTATCCCCATACAGCATAGAAAGATTGCAGAAATATTGCAAAATGATTTTACTGAAACATTGCAATATTGCATGGTGGTTGTGAAATGTTGCTGAATCATTGCTGCAAGATTCCAATAATATTAAGATGTCCACTTTTTGTTATATTGTAACGAAACATTCCAGCAATATTGCAATGTAATGCATTTGGATAAATTTTTTACGAAGATTTTTCTAAAATGAAAACTTTTTCTGTACATATATTTCACTAACTTTAATTTTTCTACAAATCACATTTCTAGTGATATGTGCCTTCCAAAAGCAATTTTTTATGATAAAACCATAAAAATATTCCAATAAGTGTATTATTAATTCTGAAGGATAAATTTATTTGTAAGAATGAAGCATGTATGTGTGTGCCCCGAACAAACTACAAATATTATCCACATTAACATAATAATACAGTCGCATGGATTAAATTAATCGCAGTGATTCTTTTTAATTCGAAGCCACTCCGAATCAACTGAAATCAATTAAAAAATGACGGTATGAAATTTATCAATAAAATTCAGGCGCTGGTTTATTCTTGCGTTCATATCAGATAAATACATCATCGATCACATAATTAATATTTCGATAAATCGTTTTCAATAACTTAATTGCTTATTGTATATATCTTATTCGATAATGATGCATTGATTGCATCCAAACTCGATATTATATAATTTTTTGATTTCATATTTGAAATAAATATAAAACTTATTCACGCACATTCGCTAGACTGCACTAGTGCGCACTAAATGCGAACTTCGGTGCCACGCATTCAAGTTGTACGTACTGTATCAGTGCGTTCAAGTTACCGTATTCGACAAATGAAAACTGACTCAGTGTAGTGCTGAATTTGTATTCGGACTAACCGAAAGAACCGAACAAGTTCAAGAAATGTTGCACTGACATTTTTCTGAATGCAGTTTTAGTGTACGAACAAACAAAACTAGTTAGGCAACAAAAAAATTACAAAAAAAAAGACTAAAATTATTTATTATAAATGAATTATTAAAAACAGGTAGTAGTGATGATGAAATAGAAGATATGTTATGTGTAATAAAAGAAGGAATGCCAAAAGATAAAAATTATGTGGACATCTTGAATGAACTCGGATAAAAAAAAATATAATTATATATGATAAAAAACAAATACTTTTGATAATGAAAATATTTATGTTTACTATCATTAGTTGTAATATATATTATTAGTTTCAAATGTAATTCTGCACCAGGTCACATCAATCTAGTGTAGTTCTGCACTTGCATCATGTCAGCGCAGCACCGTGTCAGGGCAGCTCGTGTCAGGGCAGCATCGTGTCAGAGCAGCACCGTGTCAGTGCATATGTACCGAATGTGCCATTAACTAACGAAATGGCCGTCAAATAATAGATTAATAAATTTTTTATTTAAATATAA